TTTTCCAACCTCTTTCTAACAGTCTTTTATATTGCAGTATTTTTGAAGGTATATTTTGAATTTTTTCCAATCTTCTTCCATCGACCCTTCTCCCTGGTCTCGAATTCTGCCGGTCATCTCAGCCAGTTCCATGTAGTCCATCACTTTCATCTGCCATTCTTCTCGGGTGGGCAATTCTTGTGTCTTCCAGTACTTTCCGATGAGTATTCTTGCTGCTGTTGTAGCATACATAAAAAAAGTTCTATCCTCCCTTCGCACCAATTGGCCGACCATGCCCAGAAGAAAGGCCTCTGGTTTCTTCAGAAAGGTATATTTAAATACCTTTTTCAATTCATTATATATCATTTCCCAGAAAGCCTTAATCCTTGGGCATGTCCACCAAAGGTGAAAAAATGTGCCCTCAGTCTCTTTACATTTCCAACATTTACTATCTGAGAAATGATAGATTTTTGCTAGCTTGGCTGGGGTTAAGTACCACCTGTAAATCATTTTCATTATATTTTCTCTTAAGGCATTACAAGCCGTAAATTTCATCCCTGTGGTCCATAACTGTTCCCAGTCAGCAAACATAATGTTATGTCCAAAATCTTGTGCCCATTTAATCATAACAGATTTAACCGTTTCATCCTGTGTATTCCATTTCAACAGCAAGTTATACATTCTTGATAAGTTCTTAGTTTTAGGATCTAACAATTCTGTTTCCAATTTTGATTTTTCCTCCTGGAAGCCAGTCTTCTAAAACTGTCTCCTTCTCTGAAGACCCTCAGCGTTAAGCTTAGCAGACTAGGCCTCTTGGTAGCTCTACTGTCCACAGAAGGTCTGGAAATACACTGCACTCCCATGGAAGAAACAAACCCATAGCTTGGGAGTACTATTGGATCCAGGTGGCCTTGCTGGCTAGGAGTCCCTATTTCTTGCTCCACCTGGTTCACCAGTTCCAGTTTGTTTTTTTTGGACAGAGATGACTTGGCCACTGTACTCCATGTGTTGTTCAGTTCCAGGTAGGGGTGGAAAGATCTGTCGAAATCTGTTTTCTCCGTTTCTCATTTTTTCAATCAGCTCTCCCTATTTCTGCAGCAATTTGCTTATATATATTTATAAGCATGTTTCTTCACCCTGCATGGACCACAGAGTGAACTTCACAATTATTTAGATCCTGGCCCTGATTCTTCAAAATAGGTGAACTTTCATTATCATTTTTTTAATTAAAAAAGAAGAAGAAATAAAACCCATCCTGAAAGAAATTCCTAGCATGGAATATTTACTCTTTGTGAAAAGTGAAAAGGAGACTCTTTATCGCTGCATGTGTTAGGTAATCTTAACTACCAGGACTTCCTGCCACCTCTTATGTTATTATCACAGCCACATTTACTTAACTAATAATAACTTAGGTTCTTGTTTTCTCTGGGTCAGCTTAAATTATTGCTCAGACTAAACTTCCTGTGACTTCAGAGCTTTAAAGCACTGTATCCATTTCCTTATGGACTTAAGATAATCCAAACTGGCTTTGTCTCGGGCTTTAATTTATCATTAGTTCTCAACGGAGAGACGAAGTAGAAAGAGAATTCTTCTGTAAGTATTGGGATTTCAAATACTGTGCTTTAAAATGTAAGCACCCTTTCAACTGAAAAACATTTCACATATGGATCCTTAAATGTTTTTTTAGACAGCTTGTATTTCCTTTTAAAATGTTTTGCAAAGCTGTCAAGCCTGTGGACCTGTATTTTCCACACATATCCATCAATGAAAACGCATTTGGTTTAGGTCAGAAAATGGATATTCCATACCAGCAGCTGATAATAGTATTAAAAAAAGAGCAAAGAAAGTCAATGCATCCCCTTAAAAGCATTATTATTAGACAGAAAATTAAAAGTTCTAATATAGTTTTAAAATTATAGCCCCTTTCACTCTATGTACCATTAATTTACAATTTTATAGTGCTCACAAACTGCTATTTCCATAAGGCTGAAAGGGAGGCAGAGGAAAGACAGAACAGGAAGAAAGAAAGAACTTCCAACCAGAATGTAAATCAATACTTTGGCAACCATTCTGAACCTGTTAACTTTCAATATTCCAGCCTAAACCCTAGGCTAGCAGTGCTTTAGCATTTGAAAAGTTCAGGGGATCTTGCCATAACAAAGCCTGGCTTTTGAAACTGAAACATAGTTCTGTTTTTTATTTATTTCCCCCCACATAAATGCAGTGCATAAACTGTTTCCCAATGGTATACTCCTAACCACAAGACATGAGCTGTACAGTTTAAATATAAAACAGCCCATCTATATTATATAATGGCCAAAACCAAGATTTTATGCAAGGGACAACTCCCTACTCTTCTCTTTTTCATCACAACCAGGCAATCAAAGTGATCCTGATTTGTTCAGCCCTAATCCACTTGATGTGTTTCTCTAACTCTGACTGTGTGCGACCACATCCCAGCTCTGTTTATATATCTGCATCCTCTATAATGCACTTGTCTTCTCTTGTTGCTGCAACCTATTTTGAGAGAGAGACTGGGGAGAAAGTCAGAAACAGGAAGGGAAAGAAAGGAGAACTCTAGATAGGCAGATGTATAGTCAGTGTAAAAATATCTATGATTTAAAAAGAGAGCGGTTTATATTACAGATTTGGGATGGAAGCTGGGGTGTGGGTCTGAAACAGAAGAAACCACAACATACAGTGCAATCTAGTGTATTATACACATTGCATGAATGTGCAGAATCCGGTGACTGTCATCACCATAGTCACATCAACTCTCAGCTGAATTTGGTGACTGTTATATCCTAGTTTTGTAGATGCATGCCACTGACTGTTATGTAGAAAACTGTTAAGAATCACAGCTATATCATTTGAGAGTTTTTCTGTTTTCAAAAAGTTTTGTTTATCAGAATAGATGACAATAAACAAACAAAAGTCTGAAATCATAGATTTGTAGAATCAGAGGCAACCAAAGAGTCATCTAGTCTAACCCCCTGCAATGTAGGAATCTCAACATCTAAAGCATCCAAGATAGATAGCCATCCAACCTCTGCTAAAATAAAACAAATAAAAACCAGCATGTGAATGCACAGGTAAGAATACTCCCTTCCTGTAGTGGGTACAATAAAGGTTATTGCAGTCCATCACCAGGCTAATATGGAAGATTTAGTCTCTGCCAATTTTTAGGCAAAATTTAATAGACTGAGTGGTCCAGTAGGGAGGAGAGGCGGGGTAAGTTGGGATGGGGGAAAATTCTTTGTAATTGTGTTTCTACACTGAAAATCAATAAAACATCCTTCAAAAATCTGAAACACTTTCTCAGTTAAAGGTAAGACAACCTTTTTGTCCTACACAAATGAATAAACTGTGATACCAACTGACAAATACAATCTTTTGCTGTAGTAATTATTATTATTATTTGTTCTCTGTAGTTAAGCCCAGTTATAAGGATTACTGGGTCACCTATAGTTAAAGGTTACTTGCTTTGATAGATCCCATTGAGCTGTCTTTCAGACAACATTTTCTTGTGAATTACATTTTACATCTCAAGAGGTTTCCTCATTAAAATTGTTTTAATTAATCACTGCAGAAATAATGCAGTGAATCCCAAACAATCACTGATTGACACATTTCCATTCTGGCTTCAGTCTCATTAAGGAATCTTATTGCATGAATAAGAACATAATTCACAAACACATAGGAAAAGGGAACATACTGTCTCTAAATCAATGTCACACACATACATGCCTGTATGTCCCACATATTTCATCACTGATAAAAAGCAATGGAAGGACTTCTTAAAAAACGCAGTTCCATCATATATGATACAGTGTCAACTTTCAATATTATTGTTGCAGATTTAGTTCCAATTAATGACCTCATGTCCAATTTAATTCTCAGAATTAGGTGGCAAGGCTTCCTGTACCACTTCAGGTTCCAGGTGGAACATGCCTGTCAGAATACTCTTTAATTGAGAAAAGGGGTTCATGCACATAGAAAAGAAGTATTCTTCTCCTTGACATGGTATTTATGCATCTCCCACTTGCAGCCTATAGTGGAGTAGGGTAAGTAAACAGTGATAGCAACCTATACACAGGGGGCTTTGTTTGTTTGTTACTTGGGCACATTGAAGAGGGTCTGTGGCTCACACAAGTCACAAAACAATGGTTCCAGTCCTCAAACTAATCCCATCTTATCTACAAACCAGACAAGGTCCGAATAAATAGCAAACTTCATCACAGATGAAGGCTAGCATAGCCCATTCTATGCCACCTGCTTTCCTAATTCAGGTTGCAAATATACCAGGCATTTAATGAACCTCCCCAAAGAATCATGGGAACAGTAGTTTGTGAAGAGTGCTAGGAATTGTAGCTCTGAGAGGTAAACTAAAATTCCCAGGATTCTTTGGGGAAGTGCATTAAATGTCTGCTGTGTACACAGCCTCAGAAATTTCTTTCTTATGCAACTGTGCCTGCTAGTTTACATATGGTCTGATGGCTTTCTCTGTGCTCCTGAGTTTACAACAACAAAAATGTGGCCTTGAACTAGTTTATTGCCACACTCAAGAAGATACATTTCCCTATTACAATTTCTACTGGCCTTATGGATTATCGCATAATCCCATAGCCTCGTCTTAAAAAGCAAGGGGACTGGAGAGAATAGAGTTTTAACATGCTATGTTAAAACCCAGTTTTGCCTTTGCTGACAAAAAGCCATGTGGGTGTGAGAGGTCATGCCAGGAAGGCCCTAAGATTGATGCTATCTCTAGAACTCATGGTAAAATAAAATCTGTATGGACACAGTCTAGCCACATTCATAAACTCCTGCAATTCTCCCAGTGAAACCGATGCAGGTGGAAGAAGGTGTTAAACTTTGGTGGGATTAGATTTAGCCATTTTGCAAAAGAGTAATGGTCACATTCATTATAAGGTCTGGATGTGACAGATGCATAGAAGGGAGATAAGTAAGAACTGTGCAGCTCTCACTGACTTGCTCATGAGAATTCTTAAAAGGTTATCTCTGCCTGGATAGCTCAGTTGGTTAGAGCGGGGTACTGATAATGCCAAGGTTGCAGGTTTTGTCTCTGTATGGGACAACTGCATATTCCTGCATTGCAGGGCATTGGATTAGATGATCCTCAGGATCCCTTCCAATTCTACAATTATATTATTCTACATGGCCTACGATATACGATATAAGATATCTTTATTGTCATTGTCCCATGCAGGACAATGAAATTGAAAAACTACATAAAACTACATAAAAACTACATAACACTACTACAAAACTACATAAAACTGCATAAAAACTACGTAAAACTACATAAAAACTACATAAAACATTCAAAAACCCCTAAAAACTCTGAAACCCCATTTTAAAATACACTATACTATAGAGACCCCTTATGCAGCGTTTAGAACCAGAATTGCATTTGCGTAGAAACTGTTTCTCAGACGGCTAGTCCTGGCCTTTATAACCCTATACCTTCTTCCAGAAGGCAGGAGCTGAAAGAGGTCGTCTCTCAACTCCATTCCCTAGCAAACTGGTATGCATGTAGTCCAAGGTATACTGCAAGCTTATTGTCAAAAACCAGTGCTATTCATTAAATGTATTTTGTTCAGACAAGAGATTATTTATTTATTTTTCCATTAGTTTTGCAATGATTCCAGATGTAATGAGGTGAATGAATCACCTCCCCTTGATGTAAAATATGGTGCCTTTACTGCTTTCTTGTAGATTGTCTTCTGATCATATAGGCTTGCCTCTTTGTTTCCGCAACACACGGAGAAGTACTATGTTTAAACTTCAAATAATATCTCAGCATGTTCCTCGACCCCAATACACTGGCATTGTTCCAGTGTGTTTCGTGTCCTCCCCCCTTAAAAATATGGGTTTAAATTCCTATAATGAATTCCGCACCTGAATTGCTGAAAGACATTTTATGTGTTGAGATCCCCAGGGTTTTTCGGGTCTGCAGATTATAATGTAGCAATTAAAGCAGGCAGTGTAGTAGCACTCTTGTTATCTTAGCAGATCTCTATCATGAGTAATTGACAGAGCACATTTAATTTGGGAAATTTGTTAAATAATGTCTGGAACAGTTACGTTAAATAAGGGGATAGAAACCACATCCTAGACCACGTGACGTTATAGGATGCAATTAGCAGCGGTATTACAATACTGGAAGTTGATGCTTTGGACAGAATACATGGATATTTTATACACAGATTACCCAACATTTTTAAATTATTATTTTTAAACTGATTAGCCATGTCACTGCACAGAGTAACTGCTGCAATTCTTGGTGCTTGGGAAATTATAGGTATTTTCACTCAGACTAGGTGCCTTAGGTCAGCTTCTGATATTCCATGTATATGTATTAGTGGCATCAAGATCATGAATCAGGAACTCTAGGAAGCAGATGGAAGTATCTTTCAAGGAACAACAGTTTCTGCCCTTTTCTCTACGAAACTTCACCACCATGCAGACAGACAAAGGGTATATTGCAGCTACCCACTCAGCAGAGATTGGGTTAGAGAAGGGGCCAATCTTCTGGATTTGGTCACTTTTGGCAGTTTAGGTGTGGGAAAAGAAATAGTTTAGTTTAGCCTAGTGACACTCTTTAGGCACCTTTCAGGTGAAGGCTCATTCCTCATACTGTGCGGTTCAGGGTGTAAGATAGGGACCTCCTTTGAGGTCAAGCTCCCTCATCCACCTGGGGTTCTGCAGTCCCAGGTGGTCGTGACGAGGTAAGGCCTCCCTTCTCACCTTCAGGGTGTGGCCCAGGAATTGGGACAGACTAGGGAGCCATGCCCTCATTCCCCAATGGCTATAGTTATACAGTTAAGTTATTTCCTGCCCCACAGTCATTCCCCTCTGCTGATTTTAATTTAAGGTCTAAAGAAAAGCGGCCTAGTTCAACCCTGGCTCATGTGTCTGCCTCTTTATCTGCACAGAACACACAATACAACTACAGAATTTGTTCCCACAAGATGCAGAGGTGGCCATTAACCTGGATAGCTTTAGAAGGGTATTAGACAAATTCCTAGAGAATAAGGCTATCAGTGGGTATTAGTCATGATGTCTGTATTACCTCCAGGATCAAAGACATCAGTGGCTGTGTGCCTCTGAATACTAATTTCTGGGGATCACAAACAGAAGAAGACTGTTGCACTCATGTCCTGATGGTGGGCCTCCCAGAAACATCTAGTCGGCCATTGTGAGTATAGGATGCTAGACTAGATGGACCTTTGGTCTGGTCCAAATGGGCTCTTACGCTCTTAAATGAAGGTTTCTAAGTGCATTCAGTCAGATGTGTGAAAAGGTGTCCTTCAGATTTCCAGACCATAACAGTGGGACATGGCATTAGTCATAGAACATCTAATTTCACATACCAACATCAATGGAATTAATATATATATACTAGTGTATATATACACCAATACAGAGTAGAAGAAAAATAGGCATGACTTGCTCGTTTTTATTTTCTAGCTCTTTTAACTTATCCCACAGCAACAAGATTTCTTATCATATTAAAGCATGTCTATATATCACCATAATTCTGCAGGCATTTTTCAGCGAGGAAGAAACTATGACTCTAAGGGAAGCTTGTAGAATTTCCAGGAAACCTTCCTTTTCAGAAATCCCAAATACTGGGTCATAAAAAGTGATTAAAAATAAACTTTAAACAGATTACTAGATCTCTTTGGACATCTTATTTAAAACAAGTATTTAATATTTGAGTTGCGTGCTGAGGTCCCCCAAAACACCCCTACCCCAATAACTCACACATCACTCATAAATTTTTGTTTAAGGTTTTTGGCATAATTTTGGCCACAACTTTATTAAACATACAAATTGTGAGTGGTTGCTTAGGCATTGGTTATGACTATCTGTCCCCCCCCCCCCGGCCTGGGGACAGAACTGACTTCCGGATTCCAGTGAAAGCCAGTGTGGAGGAACAAGATCAGGGATAACTGGAGCTGCGGCACAGACCCTCAGCTTCTCCCTGCATGCTCCCAGAGGCTTACGCGGCCCAAACCCGATTCCAGGGGTTTGGACGAAAGGATGGTAAGCCCCTGAATTCCTTTAACAGAATTCCCATGCAGCAGCAGCATTGGAGGGGCAGGCACAGCCAATCCATACCCCTCCACCAACCAATTTAAACCAATGCCTAACCGCCAAACTTACAAGTTGTGACAATTTGCTACGCAGTAGGCAAAAACCAAATGGCACACACTAATCAGCCAAATGGAAAAATTCCTACCAGGCCCCCGCACCAAGGCGGACGACCCCATGACAGGCATAGCAAGGTCAAAGCACAAGCCCAAACAAGGGAGGGCGAGCGGGTGATCCGGTGCCCACAGCGAAAGAGAAAGCAGCTTGCTGTGAACCTCGTTTAAATAATCTCTGTTCCCACCCCCAAATTGGCAACATCAAATTTACCCCAGCAACACCAACCACCAATCCAAGCCAGGCCCCTTCAATCTATCCTGCCTGGCAACTACGGGGTGCTTTGCCTGGCCCCATCCGCAACACATGCTCTCCTTTAGTGAGAACACGCTTTCTTTGTGTCACTAATCCTTAGATGCAGAAACTCTAGTATGTAGCTCTAAGCAGAAAACTTGAGATTATCAAATGAAATTGTTGGGCAATAAATTCAAGACAAAATAAATCACTCATTCACAGAAGACACAATCAACATGGGACTTGGTGACCAAAAGAGGTAGCCACTGATTCAGAAAAAGGTGACTGAAATGATCAGGGAATTCATGCAACTTCATATCAGGAAAGGTTACCATATTTGTTTTGTTTTTTAAAAAGTTTAGAAAAAAGTGGGCATTGGGCCATGATGGAGGCACATAATGTATGGTGTAGAGAAAGTAGACATAAGTTTTCTGCTTCTCTCATAAAGCTAGAACTGAGACCATCCGAAAAAGCTGAATTTTTCAGTATATAAGTGAAGAGGTCATTGTAGCTCAACAGATTGAAGCATCTCACCTGTAATCAAAGCAGAACTGCTTGGGTGGAATGGGATGGTTCCCCACCAACTTCCAGTCCATTTTAAATGTGTTGTTGTTGTGTTAACCTCCCTTCAGTGCTTTGCAAACTGTTTCTAGGGTTTGCTTCTTCTTTGATGAAGTAAGGCAGTCAGCATTCACAGTTTTTGTAGATGTTGTTGATTTCGGTGTGTTCAACAACATTTTCCCTCCTTCTAAACTGTTTTCTGAATTGATGTTCCTGACATCCTTGTGCTTATCTTACATTGAATTGGCCTTTCAAAGGACAAATGCAGCTCACATCTGGAGAAAACAGCAGTCACAACAATAACAGGGGATGGGAAATAATATAAAAATTGAACATAGCACTTTTGCTTCGGAAGGGAGAAAGAGATTGGATTTTGACAGGGATAAAGAGCAATGGTAAGATTAATGCATTTGGGACAACTTGTCAGTGCTTTAGAGGGATGCCTTTTAAGTGCCATAATTTTGAGGTCAAATGGATCAGAGTCCCAAATGTATCTTGACACATTCACTTTAAAAAAAATAAATCCTGGCTAAATCAACTTCTGAATTTCACATTACAACATTATACTGAATATATTCTTAGGTTAGAAGCTAGAAATTATGCATCTAGGTGATCCTAGATGATGTGAAGTGCAAACGACTACATATAATTTGTCAGCAGGTTTTTCTTTCAATTGCATATCTCTTATTTGCATGGTTGACAGTCTCTATAAATAATACTGTAAGATCAGTGAGCTTCCTGAGCAGGTAAGACCATTAACAGTTGGTGACTCTGCTTTAGGCTGTTAACTTTGAAAATGACCCTTGAAGGCAAAATATGATTGATTTGGATAGCATTATGACATTAATATTGTCAATGTCACATTTGGAAACTTACTCATCTCACAAATTCACAGACTACTTGAAGCCCTGTAGAGGAAATTGCATGAGGTGTATTTAACTTTAGGAGGCTTAAAAATATGAAGAAACATCCTAGTAGCATAATATGCCCATTCAACTGCTTTGATTGGCAGAATTGGCACTACCACAGCCACATAATATCTGTTTTTGCATTTGTAAGAACTCGATCATTTACTGTGGCCGTGCCTTTGGAAC